GGAAAGCCCCCAGGCCTGGCAGAATTTGATGGCATGGATCTGACAGCTAGGGGAAAGGTCACCTCCTGAAGCTGCCCAGGAGGAAAGAAGCTTCTCCGACACAGAGGACACCATCTGTGCCTTTCGTTACCTCTTGAACCTCTGCTTCTCCACAGTAGGAATCCCAGGCTGCTTGCTCTCGGGTCTAACCACCAACACAGGCACATTTTCAAATAAAAGTAAAGCCCTGGAGTCCACTCCATCAAAATACTCATCTGCAATTATTACATAGGTCATGCTTTTTCATTCGCTGCCATGGGTTGAAGCTTCCTCCCCACATTTCAATCCCTTTTATTTGCAATGTATGCTCCGGTAGGAAGAGCTTATTGAGGAGCTGGGTAAAGAACTTGAAGACATTTATCAACCGCAGGCTAGAGATGCTTCTGGCACAGCTTAGCTAGAGGTATGGGGAACATAAGCGCTTTGTAATCCACTTCAGTGTGAAGTCAGCCAGGGTGGCTCAGCCCAGCTTCAGCAGCAGTTCCCATCTGAACCACTGTCTTGTTCTTCACACAGAAGAGAATGGGACACGCTCCCATGCTCAGCCCTGGTGGCAGGAACATCCAAGAGACACTTTCTGAGCAGATGGGGAGGGGTAGCATTGCAAAATTTGTGAAGAAGATCTTCCCGAGTCCACATTTACTAATTTTTGTCTCATCTTGCCTAAGCTGAGGAACTTCTTTCATGGCCCCAAGAGGGATTAGTGGTCCTGAATAAAATTAACTTGGTGTTCTCACCTCATCCCCAGGGGAGGAATGTGGTTCCATTTCACCAAACCAGCATTCTGACCTGGCATTTTTTTCCCTTAATCTTCAAAGAAGAAAATATTGCGGGGAGGGTGAAGGACAGGGAGCAAAGCTTGTGTTACCAGTGCTTCCTGCTGCGTTTCACTTCAGCCACTGCCCTTAAACTTCAGTGCTTCTTGCAAATTCTATCAAGGCATTTTTAAGAGAAACTTAATTGACTTGACCTATATCTATATAAAAGGGGATGCTGCCAAGAGCGAAAAAGAGAAAAGCAATGATGAAAGGAAGAGTCCTCTAATGCACGCTTTTGTTTTTGTTCAGCACAGCCTGACCACTGCTGTTCACCAGGTTGCAACCCAAAGTCTGCCATCCCAAGGAGAACTAGGTAGCTTTTGTTGGTGTTTCAGCCCCCAGAATTTCATTTTATGATGAAAATTAGGGTGGTGAGGGCTCGTAAAAATCAAACCAAGGGTTTGGGGTTTTCCAGATAACATAAGAGATTGCCATGCTCTAGCTGAATGAGTTACCATTCACCAGCTCTGACATGTAGATTGACCCTGTTAGACATCCTAACCACTTGCAATTTCACAGTACAAGATGGTAGCTTTTGCTTGATACCGTAAATGTTTGAAGTATAATCATATCCCAAAATTTCCCAGAGTTCTGCCGTAATGCCATGTCTTCCCATACATCCATTGCACAAGCTTCATTCAATTTGTTGGCATCCACAAGTTTCCTCTGAACTGCCCAAGATCAGCACTGCCTCCTGGAAATCACCATCCATCCCTTCTCCTGTGCCACTTCTCCCCTGTGGGCACTTCTTACCTTAAACATTAAAAAGAAAGAATCACCATCACAGACATTGGTTGCACATGTAAATATTGGCCCTGAGAAGCATGTGGCACTGTCCTGACTCCTCGTGCAAACTGACCAGCAGCAGCCAGGCACTGAGACTCTGGTTTGGCTGCCCAGCTGCATACCTGATTTCTTTGAGGGCTTTGCTTTCTTCATGCAGCAAGGCAAAGTCAGACATCCCTAAGGCATCCTTGTTCCTGATCAAGGACAGCAGCTGACAAGCAGAAGTCAAATCACCTTCCGAGTCCCACGAGGGTGCCAACACCAGCAAGGACCAGCTTGTTCAAACATGCCCAGAAGGGCACCATTGCATGCCATTTGCAGTGGGCTGAGGGAGCTCCTCCGACATCTTGTAATTCATGGCTTAAAACATAGCCGTTCATTTTCCAAAGCCTCTAAACAGCTCTAATTGTCCCTTTATCATTATAACTGTAGGATGCTTTCATTTATGTCTTTTTTTCTTGTCAGTATGCAGCTTCTAGGTTCTTGCCTGAGGTAGCTTTATATAAACAAATGTTGTTGTTATTCATTATTAATAAAACCTGACCTTCTTATTCCAAGATTGCCATTCACTCTGAGCTTCACCAGCTCAACACCAGCCCAAATGAGTTCACTCTGCAAAGGAGGTTGAGAGCTGAGAAATGGAGGAGAGGACTGCTGCAGTTGAATGAACTGTATTCCCTTCCCTGCCAACAAAGCCATTATACGAGCAATATTAATTAAGAGGACCTCTGGGAGTGCCACTTTTTAACCTCACATCCTGTGTGTACAAAGTGAGATTTAGATAATGCTTCCAGGCAGTGTCTGCCTGCAGGATTCTCTCACATTTTTGTAAGTGCCCTCAGATGAAGCACAGCTCAGCAGTGACGTAGCTGAAGAAATCCTCACCCTCCTTAGACAATATTTTATTAACAGGAAACATCCATTAGGCAGCACAGTGACATGTTCAGCTGAACGCCCTATGGAAAGCCAATTCATTTGCATCAATACACTCTACAAAAGCAGGGGGGAAAGCAATGTATTCTGCATGAAATACATTGCGAGAGTATCAGATGCTTATAAGATGCACCAGCCTGCTTGTGTTTGCCCAGCCTATTCTTCTCAGGACAAATGCAGAACACTTTAAGACAGAAGGCTAAATATCTCTAGCTACTTTCAAACATTCAGGTTTGGGTTTTCAGAGCTGGAGATGACCAGATCTGAGCTGCTGGTCTGTGTTGGATTCTGAGGCCTCCCACGCCCTCCTTATTGTCCCTAGGCTGTGAATACCAAGCACTGGTCACTTACTGGTCCTGTGCTGAACAGAAACCGTGTCACTTCGAGCACCATCTTTGTAATAGGCCCAGATGGATATTTTATAGTCAGTGTTCTTCTGCAAGCCTGGCAGGACAGCAGTTGCCACATTTCCAGCGACGGAGAGCTGCAGCAGGGAAAGAAATGAGTCAGTCGAGTTCCCAGGCATCCCCAAGCTAGTTCATGCCATCCAAGTGTGTGTCTCACAGTTTGCCCGTAGGCACAAATGAGCTAGCACTGGGCTTTGGGGACAAAGTCTACTGTTGTGCGTTGCACACATCTAAGCAAAGGCAAAATTCCAGCCCTGATTAATGCAGAGGAGATGCCCGTGTATTGCTGCCCAGTTATATTCAGCAGCTACTTCAGTATCACAATGCGGTGCTCTGGCATGATGCAGTCAGCCAGCCCTAAGCATGAATTCCCTTTGCTCAGTTTCCAGCTTGTAGACATGTTGGGGACAGAAGCCCCAGCACACCCCTATTCCAGCCCGAATGTGAAGCACTGCGTGACAGACTTGTGTATCTAACCCACTTCAACTGCTCTTTGCACTCACACTGAAAATAGGGCCTTGAGATAGAAGAGGTCACCTGGTCCATCCCTGCCCCTCCTGCACCAGCTCTGTCTCTGGTCATTCTCCTCTGTGTGCTCCTCCGTTGGCCCTCATCCTTCGTGAAGAGCAGTAGCCCCAAAAGTGGTCGGTGCTTACTAGCACTGAGGAAAGCAAAAGTTGCTTCACCTGTCTTAGAGGCGATACCTCCCTTGAGTATTACCTTTGTTTTTTCCACAACAACTTGACATTGTGGGCTGGTGATTGTCTGCAACCCCAGATCTTTTTTCTACTGAATTGCTTCTTAGCTATTTGTTCTACATCCTGTACTCCTGTAGTTAATTATTCCTGCCTAAGCTTAATACTTTCTGCTTGTCCCTATTGAATTTCATCCTTGAGATTTTCCAGAACACTTCTGCAATCTTCCCAGAGCCAGTAGGACTCGGACCCTGCCATCCCGCTGTCACTCCTGCTTCCAGCACTCAAGGTGACAGCTGCATTGAACAGAGCGAGACCCAGGACAGACCCTGTCTTATTCCATAGGCTCTTTCAGCTGGGGGCTGAACTGTTTAATTTCTTGAGTGCATTAACCTGAACAGTTTTGCACCTGCCTATGCCACTCTTGGAGGTGAGTTCAGAGCCATCAAGCAGGCACAAAGCCAACCCAGCCTCCCCAGAGCTGTGTGTGGGTCAGTACCTCCTGAGGCTTCTCTCCACCGACTGTGCTCCATTTGATCTGATAGACAACCACATCAGAGGCAGCAACAGCTTCCCACTGCAGTCGGAGGCTGCTCCCAGAGAGCTCGGTAACCTTCAGTGCACGTGGCAGGGGGACCTTTACTGAGGGATGCAGAAGGAAAACCAGCTGAAGCGCGGATGCTGACAGCGCCTTGTCAGAGCCAAGGTGGGGAGCAGATGGTCGGGGAGCAAAACATCGACCAGGCAGATGTCTGAGACCAGCCTGTCTTTCACTTCTTCAGACCCATATGACAACAGCCATCAGGACAGAAAAGGGTAAATTATTTTTAAATCCCTAATTAAGGAGGATTATCTTATTTGTGGAGAGGACACATACCATGCTGGTATTGTAAAGGCGAGAAGGCTAGGAGGGCTCTCAAGGACACAGAGGTTAGTGATACATCACGCTTTCTCTTCATTTGCTTCCTTTTTTTATTCATTCCACCTCATTTTAAACATGACACAGTTGGACGTATTCACACAGAAAGAACAACAGTCATCTGGGGTTTGTGCAAGGGTTTTGCCCGTAAACTGCTGGGACCAATCTTCACAGCATCCCAGTTCAGACACACACAAGCCAATTTTTTCACCTGTGACTAGGACCAAAAGCATTTCCATTCCCTACTTACAGGTGGTAACGTTGCCAGTAATTGGAAAGGAGTCCCCTTCATCATACATAGATTGGACACTGATGAAGTATTGGGTGAGGGAGGACAAAGGTCTCAGGACAGTGGAAGTTGCAGCGCCAGGAACCTCTACCTGCAGTGGAGGAGTTGTATGAGTATTAGGAGAGGAGCATGGGGACAGCGGCAGAGGGGTTAGCATGTGGGTGGCAACTGCATCCAAAGTGCCCATTTCAGAGATAAAACACTGCCAGCAGATAAGCCCTCCCTGAACCATGGAGCTGAAGGAGAACAGGGCAGTATCCAACCTCCCAAATTCCTTTTCCTTCTACCAGCTCTTTGAGGACTCACCTCCCCAGTGTTGCTCCCTCTGCTAGAAACATAGGTGACGCGGTGAGCTTTCACGGCTGCAGACGCAGCCTCCCAGCTGACTCGAACGGATGCGTGGCTGAGCTCGGAGAAGCTCAGGTATCTGGGAGGACTCAAGGCCACTGCAACAACAGTTAGTGACAGCACTCCAAGGTTTCACAGGCCACACAATGGCAATGCCACCGGTTGCCTCCTGCTGCTCTTAGATGACTCCACCTTGAACTGAGAGACTCATTCACCATGTGGAAAAATATTCTCTTTATGTCACTACCATACGTGCCTCTAGGATGTCATGAAAGGCTACCTGGGCTTTAGGTGAAGAAACAGCCAAAAAATTCCCTTTTCCTCCCCAGACAACAAAGAGCTCAGCAAACAGCTCTTTCAGGAGTCCTTTTTTAACAGGGGAAAATCACTCCTTTTTCACAGCTCACCAAGTAATTAGAGATCCCCTCGGGGACTAATATTCGCTTAAGATCAGGCAGGGGAGAGGCAGCGTGTTCACAAGCCACATGCACGATATGGGAAGCACCTCATTTAACATGTCTTTCCTGCCTTAAGTGTTTAATAACAACTCAGCAAAAAGCAGCAGCACTTACAGGTGGTTTCCTGGATGCTGGCTGGATCACTTGCGTCTTCCCCATACATGGCATACACCGCGACAGAGTACTCCGTGCTGGGCGACAGCCCGTCCAGCAGGACCTCAGGCTGGGCCACCTTCACCTGTCAACAGAGAGATGCTTTGGGGTACCCTTCAGTTCTGGGGTACCCACCGATGCCCTCAACAGAACAAGATCTTACAGAGACACAGATCAAGGTTCCTTTGGTTACACTAAGGGGCCTTCTCCACTTTGGGACTTCAACCACTTGGGTAGGTGCTCTACAGCGGCCAGTGTTCTGCCTCTCTTCCCAAGGGACACCAAGCACGTTGGAGGTACACATCACCTTCTCCTACCCTGGTCTGCAGAGGCGTAAGTCTCTTACACAAAAATGCTGCTGCTGCTGTTGTTCTGGGTTGGATCGGGGGCATGTGGGAGACGTGATCCCACTTTGCTCAGACTCATGGAAAGCTCTTGCAGAAGAGCTGCCTGCTGCCAGCAGACCCATAGCAGCTGGGCTGCTGCCACCTGCCGCTAACACGGCACGGCCACAGCTCTCCTCCCACCGTCTGCTCGCTGCAGAAATGCACCCCAGAGACTTTTAGGAGTCTGCACACAATGCAGCACAGTTTTATAAAAGGCTGGGAACATTTTAATGCTGGTTTTGCAGACACCCCGTAGCCTTAGAGCATTGCACTCTTACAGTGAGTAGGTCAGGTTACTGCAGAAATGTTCTAATATGCTAAAATACAATTTTAAATGTTGGTCTCTCTGCAAATGTTCTGAATCTTAAAAAAAAAACCAAACCCACAGTTATGAACTGAAAGCAGAGTATAAGCATTAATTGCTCTGTTTTGAAAATCATCCTGCAACTGCTCCTATTGCTGTGCGTTCAAGTGGGAATCTGAGTCAAAGAAGCAATACATGTTCCCCCACTTCTCTTTTTTACTCCAAATAACTCATTAAATTGCACACATGACAAAGGGTGCTTAGATGTTTTTAAGGATTTTCCATTCATTGAGTGTTGTTTTATTCTTATGCAGTGTCGTAGGCCTGTTTTTAGAGATCAGTGAAAACCACCCTAACAAACTTTCAATTAACATTAAGATAAATACAGTAAAGACATTTATGTACAGTCTCAAGGATACAGCAATTACACTTGGAGCTGCAAAGATGTGAGTTCGGTGCCTGAGTTTCCAGGGCCCCATGATGCAGTCAGTTCAGTTCTCTCCCTATGCCTTAATTTCCCACGTGAAACCTTCACAGTTATAAATCGCTTTGAGATACACCATTAAAAAAAAAAAAAATCTTCCATGCTGCTGGCAATAATGCTGACACTTTTTTTTTTTTTAAACACATGATACCAATTCACAATTAGAGCTAGAACTAAACTCAGCCCAGACAGAGAAAAAACAATATTATCATTATTCTCATGAACCCTACCTCCATCGTATAGTCCTCTGCTCCGTTGGGGGCTGCGGAGCAGAGCACCAGGTACTGCGTGGCTCCCTGGACTGCCTTCCAGCTCAGCCTGATACTGTTGTGGCTCAGCTCAGAGACACGCAGGGAGCGAGGGGAGGACAAAGGCACTGAAGGGAAAAACAAGGCAGAAAGATATCTTCAGTGTATGAGGTCTGCGACAGCTCAAACCCCAGAGGAGACCTGGCTTTGCAACAGCTACTGCAAGCTGGTGGACATCTACCTCACATCTAACACAGCGGAGCAGCCACTTTACAGAGAAAAGGTTTAATTCACTTGGAGCCCGAGGATAAAAAAGCGGCAAGGGGTTGCAAGATATTTCTAGCATGGTGTGTTACTGCCACGTCAGTGGTCTCCTTTGTAGAATGACATAGGTGGAAGGGGACCCCTGAAGGTCTCTGGTCCAACCTGCTGCTCAAAGAGCAGGTTGCTCAGGGTCTTATCTGGTCAAGTTCTGGGCATCTCCACAGATGGGAGATAGCTGTAGACAGACTGAACTTGAGGAAGGGGGAAAAATACAATGTCAGGCTCTAGTCTGAGATGGTCACAAAGAAAGAGCTTTGTTCACCTATCATAACCATGCACTGGCATAATTCTCTCTACTCACGACCTACATGTGGAGGTGACGCCTCTCAGCCCATCCCCAACAACTGTGTCATAAATAGGAAGCACCGACACCAGATACTCCGTGTGCGAAGTCAAATTGGAAAGGCGCAAAGAGGAGACTGCTCCATCTAAAACCACCTGAAAGCACAAAGGAGGGCTGTCAAGACAGGGAGGTGTTAGCCCCTCTTTAGCAAAGGAACGGCTGAACTGGCCTTCCCTAGCAAGTGTGGTTTTTTTGTGGCAGATCTGTGCCCAGAAACATGAAGTCCAGCTGCCCTCTGAATTTTGTGCCAGCTAGCATCTCCCCAAAATAGAGAGGTAAGAGGCAATAAGCATTCCTGTCCTTTAAGGCTGGGATCTGTGCAAACACCAAGCACAAGACTCTAATCATGCTCTCACTGAAATCAGTGGAAACCCATCAACAATTTGGATTTGCTTTTTTAAGTCATATCCATCACAGATGAACATACGTGTACCTGCGTGTCCTCTTAGAGTCAAAACAGATGCTTTAGGGGGGGGATAACACTGCATAAGAGAAAAATTGGCGTCAGCATGGCTTGCAGTATTTCTAGCAAGATGATATTTATCTGATGTCCTCTTCTATCTTGTCATCCTATCAGCTTGATCACATTTACACTTAGTGTGCATTCAATTTCATCTCTGGCTTTAGCGGATGTCCCACAAGAACTGCACCTCTACCTTCTTCTCTTTGTCTACTCAAGTCTACTTAAATTCCCAGCCACCATCTGGAAGATACCGCAGTCTCAGATGTCCAGAGAAAGGTGTCTCACCTCTTTGGGGATACCACCCTTAGATGGATAATATACAATCCGATATTTCTTTGGTGGTCTCAGAGGAGGACTCCAGGTCAAGTGCATGCTCTTAGAGGTCACAGCTGATATTTTAAGGTCAGTTGGGCTCAGCTGGGGACCCATGTTCACAGGGATATCTTTCACAGTGCTGCCTAGGAATTAAAAACACAGTTACTTTCTTATATTCAGACTTCTCATGCCAAATGTACTTTCCAGCTCATAAATATGAGTGGCATTTTTCAAATCAAGTTACCGTCTCCTTCCCTATAGAGTATAGAAACTGTTCCAAACTGCTCTAAAACTAATATTTTAAACCTGGGCGTACAGAGAACATAAATACTCCATAGAGAACAGGCTGTGTATTTTGCTAGGTGCTGGGAATACTTTTTCAACACAAGTCTGCATTTTTGCATGTATCCAAAAGATGACCCAGCTTTCCTCAATCATGAAAAGTTGTCAAAATGAACAAGCAGAAGTTATTTTGGTTTCTTTTTTTGAGCAGCCCATCTTTCTTTAGCTTAATCTGCACCTTTGAAAAATGTCTAATTATATCAAACAAGTACAAATTAATAAGGATCAATCAATTTATTTATATGACTCTCCAGAGCATTAAAATAAAAGTATGCTTGAAAGTTAGACTTTCCCATTCTCCTTAGCCCAATCTTAGAGCAGAGAGAGAGAGAAATATGTACACGATATTTCTCCTGAGGATCTAAGCTAACATCTGGAGTGGTTTGTCACTCTCTTGTTCATCATACAAGCTGCTCTCCAGCAAAGGAAAGAAATAGGATGTTTGGTTTTAACTTGAAAATGCCTTGGAGATCCATCATTTAAAGTAAAGTGTGGAGGAAAAAAAAAAACATGTTTAGATATTTTATCATCTCCTCTTCCTACCTCCACATTTCCTCCCTATGCTCTCCCTACTATATTTTCAAATTAGCTTTTTTGCTTTTTCTGCCTCCTCTTGGTTGGAAGAAACTCAGAAAAGGAGATGGTTACAACGCATTTATCACACCATATGATCATGGAAGAGGGAAGAGCAGTGCCCTCTTCCCTACAATGGTAGTTATTGTCATTAGGTGATTATATCCACCAAGAGTTATGCAAACCCCTGGGAGGAATGGCTGTTGCCTGTATTGGCTCACAGGCTAAAAGCAGATAACTAAACCAAGAACATCAGAATGGAAACATCTACAGGTAACGTCTCTCTGTGACTTGTTAGAGACAGCAAGGAGTCTGCAGTGGAGTGAGAGTGGAAGAACTGCATCCAGAGGGTCTTGTAGAAGACAACGATCACAGGAGAAACTGGCCAACACAGTGACGTGGCAAGGACCATTGTCAGGCAGCAAGAGGGCTGAGCAAGATGATCAGCACTGGAGGAGAAGTTAGGTGGTGCTGACAGAGTGATGGAGCTCATGGAGGAAAAAGTATGAGAAAGTGTCAATCCCGATGGCAAGGAAGGTGGATGGTGAGCAGAAGGAAGCTCAGCCCTCACTGAGGAGGTTTCACTTCACCTGCATTTTCCTTGTTGTTCTTCTCTTTGATCCTGGTGCACAGGACCCGGGTGAGCCTGCCAACCAGAGAGCTCAGCAGCGGGAAATCCAGCACGTTGTACACCGTGAGCTCCAGCGGCTCTGAGGCCACCTGCTTCAGCTCTGCTTCATCTGCGTTCTTCACCCCTGCAACCAGAGCAGAGAACGAGACTGAGAAAAATCCCCAGAGAGCAGCAGCTTCTGCCTCCTGCTTCTGTTCAGGGGCAGGATGGGTCCACCATCATCCTGCTCTCCCTGCAGAGCCTCCCAGTGATTCCAGTGGGGTGATGGTAACTGAGAATGGCCTTGGGCATTCTGCAGCCACAGCCTCAGTCCAGCCTGGGAAGGGCTTTCAACTCTGTGAGCTCAGAAAGTCTTTTGTGGCCTGGATACAGTCTAGTGAATTCTTCTGTTTTCCTGTCTCCTCATCACTTGCAGGCTTTGCTACCAGGAAGGCAGATATTTTTCACCCTAAGAGGCAGTTGGCATAAATGGGGGAATGAGTGAATGAATGAATAAACAACAATTTTATATTTACGAGGTGCCAGCACTACCCACAGAGAATCTGTTGTTCATCAGAACATCACATTGCATTTCAAGAGTGTCAACGATGAGCAAAAAGTTAGACCATCTGTTTAGCAGAACTTCATTATCACAGAGCATCCTCCATCCCTATCCTTCTGCTCTGCATCCTCATTAACCCTCTGCAGACCAAGCCCCACAGCACACAACTTATTTTGCTTCCCAGTACTAGGCTCAAGGTCATCCTAGCATTGCCCAAGCAGTACCATTGCCAGACGGGGTCCCACCTGGTTTCTCAAGTCCAAGACCATTACCTTAACAGCTTTGCTAGCCTCCTTCCCCTGGCTCTTGCAGTGAGAACCAAGGCAGTATTGAGATTAATACTCAGGTCCTGATGTCTAAGGACCAAACAATGTGATCTTGTCTAACCAGAGAGGAAAGGCAAAGACCCCAGCCAGGAACAGATCTCCAAGTGATTTCAGGTACACAGTTGTCAGTCTGTTGCGCTGCACAACATACAGCTGAGGCTCAGCAGCTTCACTCAGTCCGTGAAAGATATCACAGTGCCAGGCACTTAGCTACATAACCCTATGCAAGAAACCCTTGCTTGTGTCTTCCCAACATAAATTAGCACTTAAGGTTTTGGAGATTGCAATTTTAGGTGATTTTTCTATGTAACTTTATTGCCCATGTATTAGTCTAGCAGACTTGTTTAGTCATCAAGGACAGCTGCACAAGGCCATTTTATGTCTCATCATTGCTGCCAGATAGCAAAGAGCAGATAATGTTATTATTCAGAGAAATGAAAAGTTGTGAGCAGCAGTAATTATAAAGGAGGTCTCCCGCCCTCCCCAATACAATGTTCTCTTGCCTAATTTCACAGCTGAGAATATTGATCTCATGGCACAGGTATTTGAGGATCGCAAAGGTCTTTAAGGATGGCAGGTGTGAAATATCTTGTGTGAATGAGTGTTTTTTCTAAACAAACAAAATGCCTTTTGAAGACACTGTGTGTGCTGAATAAATGAATTAATTTTCATCTTAGGCACAATGTAATGAGGTCTTACCCATTACCTTAGTTTTAAAGCATCAGGATACTCCTATCAAAGTTGAGGGAACATAACCTTCAGTTTGAAGATGATCAAAAGTAGGTTGACTTTGTCCTACAGCTTATCAACAGCTGTGATCTTACCAATGGCAAATATCTCTATGCCCAGGTTTTTCAAAGTCTGAGCAGCCAGGTTGGCATCATCCTGGGATTTTCCATCAGTCAGGAGTATTACCAACTTCTCAGCCTCTAGCCGGGCACCAGCATCTGGTTTCAGATTCTGCTCCAGGACGTGGGTCAGCGCCAGACCTGGGGAGGAGCAGAGACAGGTGGAATGCTACAGCCTTGCAGACAACCCCCCATCACCTTTACTCTTTTCTCTGCCCCCAGTGGCTTTGGTCCCCATGGAGATCATCACACATGAACAGCTTCCCCAACTGCAGCCACACAGATCATTTAGCAGAGACCTGAGAGCTGGAGTTACCTGTGAAGGTGTTGCCGCCCTTGTACCGCAAATTCCTCATGGCCTCCAGCACTTGGTCCCTCGTAGAGTAAGCGCTCAGATCCCACTCTGTGCGGGGATCGCTGCTGTACTGGGACAGCCCTGGGGAAGACAAGAGCTATCAGCATCGTGCAAGCCAAGGTAAGCTGCAAGAGGAGATTCGTTTTGGGGAGGCAGCATCAGGCTTGCCATGGGAGGATGACACAAAATAATGAATGGGACTGCGGGTGAGCAGATGTGGTTTCTAGCTCCTCTTCTCTGCATGGTCCTCGCCATGCAGGCAGCAAGGTGATGCCTCAGACCCCGCTGGGTACAGTGGTACTTACCCCTGCGGTGGTGCTTCGAAGTATTTCATAGAATCATAGAATCGTTTAGGTTGGAAAAGACCTTTAAGATCATCCAGTCCAACCATTAACCTAACATTACCAAATTTGATAAGGTCTCAGTGTTAATTGGGGTCAAACTAGTTGGCTGCAAGGAGTGGGAAGGATTTACGCTGTCCTATTTCACGCACAGCCTGGCCAGTGCCATCTGCTGGGGTTAGCATCACTCAGAACTGGAAGCAGCATCATTCTTAGCTGAACTCAAAGCATCTCCAATGCAGCATTGCCACTGTATCTGTCTGTGCAGTGCTGTGGAGGCTGAGCACCTCATCAGAGGTAGGCAGCAAATCCCACATGTGTCTCAGCATCAATGCCCAAGCTGGTGCTGCCCAGAAGACATGGCTTCTGTTCACTGTGCCGCTATTTCTTACAGCCACTAGAGGCCAGAGCTTGCTACCAGATGGGAAAAGCTGTCAAGAGGAGCAAGCAGGACCCCACCCCAAAGCAATAAAAGCTCCTCAGAGGAGCGCACAACCACAGGAACAAAGACCAAAGCCCCTTCGAACACAGACTTCCCAAGGTCAGGAAACAGGAAAGTGTCCTACCTACTCTTATCTTGTCTTGGGCAATATTGAATGGGGAAATCAAATTGCTCAGAAACTCCTTAATGAGCTTGAAATTATTGCGTCCGATGCTCCAGGATCCATCGACAAGCAGGATGATATCAGTCATTGCAGATGTGTCACACTGAAACTGGGAACCTGGGGGGGATAAGGTTTGATGTTGAGAGAAGCAATTGTAAAGGAGGAAAAACTGCTTCAGTTTTAAGATAAAAAGCAAATCTGCAGTATAAGGCCTTGTCTGGATGGTGGATTGGACCATCCGCCAGCCCGACACATCCCAGCATCTTGGGAAAACCACGTGGCTAAGGGTAACCCATCTCAGTACCAAGAAATTGGGTGGTGCACAGCTGCATTTCTGCAAAGAATGGGTTAAAGCTGTCAGGAAGTGTGTGCCTAACCCAAGCACTGCTCTCCGCAAGCTTTCAGCTCCATTAAGTCTCAACCCCAGCCCAGTGCTTCCCTTTTATCTAGCCTAAGTCTCCAAGAATTGCAGGTGATTGCTTAATTCCATTCCACCACAAGATCCCCTGTGGGCTATAATTATTTTGTGACTTTATATTAGATCCAATCCCCCGGTAAAAACGTGCTGGCATCAAAGATACTCAAGCCCTGCCTTTCTCCCCACCCCAGGCCTGCAGCCTAACAGAGGATAAGATAGGGCATGTTGCTGATCGAATGCATCTTCCCCGAATATTTTTCAGATGGGGAATTTTCCATCTTTGGTGGAGGGAAACGGATGATCTCATCAAGATTCTGTGGGCTGCAAAGAGGTTACTCTCCTATCTCTTTTCACAGCCATGGATTCCTACTGGTCTCAAGAGACCAAATGAGGATGCTCTGGCCAATGCCGTTCCCACCACTTCAGCGGTGCTGTGAGCCATCTGCCCTGCCGTTGACAAATCTGAAGGATCATCATGGATCAGTTATCTGTGAAACATGAAGAAAAAGTCGGGGAGGTGGAGCAGGTTGGGTAGCGAACATCACTGATAAGCTCCTCCCCTTCTGAAGGCTTGGAAAGGTCCATGGCTGGGGGCGGGGTGGGGGGGGGGTGTGTGTCTGCTGAAGACTACAAACTCTTACATGGATCTGTCAGAAGCAGAGGGAGGTGGCAACACGAAGGGAGAGAATAGTGGCAAATCAATAAATTAAATCATCTGAAAGGAATTTTTGGCCTAGCTCCAGTTTGCCTTAAAATCTGTGATGTTCTACAGAACTCCAAATTTCTCCAGTGATCCCTGACAGTTCCCCAAAGCACGACCTGGGAATTGAAAGCACTATCAGCAGCACTGTACTCTTGAAAATCCTGGTGACAGAGTGGGATGGAAAGCTTATATTCAGCGGGTGTTAGGGAAAACAGTAGGGAAGAAGGAACAAGACATGTTTGAAAGCCCTCTCACCTCGCCTCAATGAATCCTTTGTGGGTTTTTCTTTTCCTAGAGACCCTCGCTCCGGGTTTGCAGGAGGGCGCTGGGATGATTTTGTGGTTGTTGGTGTTGCTTCTGTCATGCTGGCCTCCACACTGGGCTGGTTTCTTGCCGTTTCTCCTGAGCCCTTTAGCTGAATCCCCTTCTGCCTTTTCTTTTCAGCTCTGTCCTTTGCTGTGCTCCAAAGAGAAAAAATCCCATTGTCCCTAGCTGTGTTATCCCCATGCAACCTGCTCCACTCATCAGCTGATTTAAGCCACATTTGGCAGAGGTGTAGGGGCTCAGAAAGGATGAAAGCCCTACAAGCTTTACGCAAAGAGGTAGCTAGATAAAGGAGACCATCTTCATTCATGCCTTTCTGAGAGGCTTGCACATGGGTTTATGAGTAATAATAATGTTAGTAGTGGATCACATCAAAAGTTTGTCCTTCCCATTATCTCTGATGATGAAAAACAATGAATGTTTATAAAATATAAATCAGGGAAAATATACCATGGCACCTGATACCCAGTGTACTCTCCAGACCTCGGCAATCTGTGACTCGGAAATAACCTGAGCTAGTGCAAGTCTTTTTGTATAATGGCCCTGACGGATCTTTCTTCCATCAACACACTGCCTTTTGAACTCATGCGAACCTTGTTGCCAGGTACATGAGAATCTATGCAGTTATATACGGCCCTCAGCCATAGGGGAGGGCTCACACAAGACGTTCTTGTAGAACATCTGCAGCCAACCCTGGGACACAGAGCCTAGGAAATCAAGCACCATTAGCCCCAGCGATTAGGGAGCAGCTTGTTCTCAAAGAATCCACTCTCAGTTGAAGGATGTGACTGTATCTGCTGAATTTGAATAGCTGTCAGCCCCAGGAATGCACAGATGTGCTTTTTCAGGCTGGCTGGCATGAGGGGCAAATATTTTTAGGTTGCTTACTGTGTTTTTGTAGTTAAGTACTGCACACAAGGGATGGGACTGGGCTAGTGTGTCTCACTGAATGAATGTCCCTGATGAAGCTGGGGTTACAGGGAGAGGGTGGGAGTGATTTTAGGGACAGCTGTGCTTAATGCTCCAACCATGGTAGCTTGGCAGAGGCCGTGGCTCAAAATCATTCCAACATGACTCCAGGACGGTCAGTGCACCCACCTGGCTGTGTCAAGACAGTGTTCAGGGGCGGTGGGGTGGCCTCTGCCACCCCACCGTGCTCAGCTGCTGGGTTCCCCAAAGAGGTGAGATTCTTTCCTGATGCAGCTCCTGAGTTTCTTCGGTTATTTCTAGTCTGGGATGCATTTTTGAGTTCCTCTACTGTAGGAAGACCAAAACCAGAGAGAGAGTCGGTCTAGACAGGTCTGTGAGTCACAGTCCATCCCTCATCCCCCTGGGTCTTCACCATCCCCCCTTTCTAACCTTCCAACCAGAATAGTAACAGGCTCTGTGATTGCTGCATAGCCTACAGGACATATGCCTGAGGAGCCACATCTCCAAGAGCCTCAGGAGCTCTCTGGATGGTAAAATGTAGCACTCTACTTACTCACAAATTTCCTCTTGGCAAACAGTGCTTCCTGGGAGCCGTTGAGCACATAGACCTGCAGCGTGTATTCCTTGGTAGGGCTCAGCCCCCCCACTGTGGCTTTGGGAGTCTTGGTTTTCAGCATGACTTCTTGCTCTGAGTCCCCTGAGGTGGGATGAGACCACAGTTCAGAGCCTGTTAGAGCTTAAATTTAAGCTGACAGTAGCAAAAACACCGCTGAAATGCAGGGAATGTCTGCCTAGGGACCTCAGTCAAATCCTATTTCTTTTTTTAATTTTGTGGATCTCTGACTTTTATTCTTTTTCCCAATCCAGAGTTGAGAACGCTTAGGGGTTTTTTTTGTGGGTGTTTTTTGGTTTTTGGTTTTTTAAATCCCTGATATGTGCCCGAAATGGAAAACCAGTTCCCACCCAGCATAGTGCAACTCTCACCAACTTCTCAAGGAGCTGCTAGTGAAAAGCAGGATAAAGGCTTGGCAATTGCTAGTAAATACTGCTTATGAAAATATCCCACCAACTGATGTGCTTGAGGTCATATGTGACCAAAATGAGGAAGTGACTTGGCATCTCCAGAGGCCATCACTGGCACTTGGGACTCACCCTACTCATCCCAGCCCCTCTCCCTGTGCTGTCTCTGCAAGCCCCATCTCTCTCCAAGGGCAGCTGCTCTCTGTGGGGAGCCAGCTCATTTCTGGGGCCTCGACTGCCTCCAGACCCCTCCAGCCATGCCCCACAGTGTTGGGACCTGTCCTGGGTCTGTGATGCCTTGACCAGCTGAGAACTGGGGCATTTCTGTGCTGGCACGGCAGTGGGCAGATGGAGTGAGGCAGCTCTGTGCTACACAAAACAAAGGGAGAGAGGCAAACTAGCTCCCTAAAATCCTCTGATTAAGAAAGGTCTACAAGCTTTAAATTATGGAGATGGATGTGTTTCTGACCCCGCCATCCCTGTGCTCGTGCCTAGGGCTGGAGGTCCCCAGCCTACGCAGAGGGAAAGCCTCAGGCATGTGCAGGGAGTGCCAGCGGGGATTCCCTGCATTCCTGGGATGCTCATGGCTTTCTGCTGAGCTGAGGCCCGGAGAGGAGCAGGGCAGGGAAGGAATGAGAAACCTCCTGCTCCAGCTTGGGAAACAGGTGGGGGCTGAGCTAAAAGCGGATGGATGATCATAAGAGCTCTGCTGCACGCACTCCTGCCTGGCAGCTCCCTTCTCCAGCTTGCTGGGAGAGTGGCAGCAACGGAAAACCAAATGCCAGGCAAGACTAAGGTTTCCTCCAACCATTGCTCCCCGCCAAGGGACGTCGTGTCCTTCCAACACGACCAGGTTCAGTGTCTGAAGTCAGGGAGAGCTGGAGCCTGGCTGGGGTAGGGACTGAGGGGCTGAGCCCCCACACACACATGGGGTCAACTTCCCATCCAGTCTCCTTGCGGGGTGGGGGACAGGTGGGAGCTCCCACAGAAGAACCTGACAATGAACCTTTCCTCTTTTTTTTTTTTTTTTTTTTCCCTCACAGTCGCAAAGAGCAACACTTTCTGGCTAAGACTTTCCCCTAAGATGAAGAGAGCTGAATTTCATCTCTCTCTTGTGAATGAGTGATAGTGGAACTGTGCCTGCACTCATATGGCACTATGGACTGCTCTCATGGTGGCCAGAAAAGCTTCTTGTCCGTAATGTGCGTACAGCCCAGTGGAAAGTTTTGATCTAGGTAATCAACACTTGAAACCAGAAGAACCAGCAGATAATTCCCTCTGCCCTACCTCTATCACCTTAAGGTCTAAATAATGCTTTTACTTAAGTCCTGTAGTCTACCAGTCAAAAGGTAGTGCTCAGTCCCTCACTCATACAGAAATCTCTGCTGGGTCTGATGTCCAAGCATTAGCACATACCTGCCATGGGCTTTACCCGAACTTTGTAGCCGTTGATGTTCCCTTCAGTCTCTTTCCATTTCATTTGGAGCCTGTCTTCCGAAAGGACAGTGAGTTTCAGCCGGCCTGACCCTGGGGAGGAGGAGATGTGTCCGTGCTGTTATGGATGCAATTCCTCCTTCTGCACACGCACACGCAAAATGTCACATATGCCACCTCATCTATGGACATGGGAACAGTTGCGTTGCAGAGGAAACCTTCACCATCCCATGCAAGTCTTCAGCGTCCCCTGACGCTACACAGTAACTCCTGCAGTGCCCCTGCCAGGAAACCTACCACAAGTCACTGCAAATCTGTAGCCTCCACCCTATGCAAAGAGGAGTTTCTCATGCGCTAGAACGAGACCTCAGTATATACGGCTGCAAACAGGGAAAACAGTCTCCCACAGAAGCAAGGGCTTTCTCTGCACCCGTCACATCTTGGAGGACTTTCCCGGGAGCTTTCATGCAAGATGGTTTGTTTCAGCAAGCGTGTTCCATGCAAACATCTGAAATAGGAGGGCGGGAAATAGATGAAAGTGCTCAATGAGGCTCTTTGATAGGCTTGGGCTGCTGAAAAATACAGAAATTCCCCAGATGAGGGATCCCATACTTCTGCAGAAAGATAATTTCAGAGGCAGCTCCAAGGACCAGCTGGGTTTAGAAAGGAAGAAAAAAAACCAAAACAAACAAACAAACAAAAAACCAAAAACCACAGAAGGAAAAAAAGAAAGAAAACCTGATAAAGTGTAAATAACAGTTCCTGGCAGGACCGTAACTCATGGGCACCAGCTTGTATCAGTTTGCTGCAGGGAGCAGCACACTAAATGACAAATCCCAAGGAAAAAAATAGTATCAGACAAGGAGGTAAGAAGAAGAAAGAGCACATTGCCTTATCATGTCGAGATTTCACAGATATCTTTTAAACCCTAGCTAGGTGTCTGAACTCACGTGTCACTCTCTGAACCAACGATTCCTTGGTAAAACATAACTGTACTGTCGTACAAATGCCACCATATGAAACCTTTTCACTTGACTGAATATAGGATGGCAAGTCTGCAGATTTATCTCCCCTCCTTCCTGACACCGTACCTACAGCTGCCTTTCCAGCAGGCTGCCCTAATTTGTAATCAGTGAGCACATCCTTTGCCTGTGCCCTGTAAGCACCCTAATGCCCACCCTCATTTGCAGTTGTTACCAGTCTCACTCCTAAAAAAAGCTTAGGATGACCTGGAGTGTCCTGCTCAGTGCTGGAAAACTGTGCATTGCACAGGAGTCCTCAGGTCCCTAATCTGGTCTTGCATCACGTCCAGGCATCTCCTGACATCTTTGCCATGAAGTTACAGCCCAGGAAAGCAGTGAGAGCTGGCAGCGAGGACTTGCTTGTCTCAGCCCAACATCTGTGCCTTAACCTTTCCTCGCAGAGACTTCCTGCAGGCTGCCCAACAAGCAGATAACTATTTTGGGGAAACAAAGCTCAGATTCACATCTCACCCCCGGCATATCTGAAGGGGAAGAAAGAAAACATGGGGAAGAGGGGTGAAGGGCAAAATAAAATCCCAGAATCAAGCCTAAGAGGAATGGTAAAAGATCATGGAACAATGAGGGGAATTCATAGGTTAAACATGGAGCTGTCTTCTTTTGGCCAAGTGTGGTCCAGCTCCTTGGCCATCACTCTAGGAGCTGGGAAGCTAAAAAGGCAAGAATGTCCCCAGACGGATCAGAAAGGACAGCGTCCTCTAAAGCGCCATTATGTCTGCATGCAAATGAACCCCCGTGCCATGAAAGCTCCACTGTTTCCCTGCCCTGTGCTGGACGTGGGCTATTTGATGCTGTAACCTTGATCTCCAGCTGATAGGGAGTTAAGCCCAGACTTAACTGCAGAGACTGGTCTGGAAGATACTCTGAAGTGCCATCACCCCGCTAGAAGCCTTTGTGCTGACCACTTCCACCGAAGGTTCAAACCTAATATAAAGGTGGATCTTCATCATCAGAAAGGCTACAGTGAGGTGCTAGAGGTATTTTCTGATCATTTATGGTACTCTGGGAGCCCTATATGTTACAGGAGGAATGCACCTCATGTGCTTTCTTATCCAGACGTTGCACCACGTTATCATCACCATGTACATCCGAAGCAATAGTTTCAGAGTGCAGGACAGATGCAGTTACTAACAGAAGCAACACTGCTTTTTCTTCCTATTTCTCAAGCTCCCTTTGCAGATCACATAAGCACCCTTCATTGCTTATATAAGCTGAAATGCATTCCTGGTGCGAGGGAGCGGCACGCTGAACTGCTGCCAGTGATGAGGACGGGCTTTGCAGGGTGGGGAGGGATCGAGATCCTCACCCCAGATGGGCCCCCAGATCTCCTGGTGCTCTTCATGTGTGGGAATGGGCTGGTTGGAGCTTCACCAACAGACAGCAGAGTGCAGCAGCCCCCTGAAATCCTGCGTGTGATTGGGAAATTCCCTCGGATGTGGTGCCACTGCCCAGGGGAAGGGCTGAGGCTGGGCAGTTAACCCAAGTGACAGCCAAACCATAGGGAATCGCCCAGAGCAAGGCCAGGAGGGCTCCTTACCTTGGCCCACTCGTCCCCAGACATGGCTCGCCACGGGCAGGCAGGCAAAAAAGAAACAAGTGCGAATCAGCATGGTGACCAGGACCTACGAGAAGGCAAACATCAGGAAGCAGAATTAAAATTTACATTAATGGTTGGACTGGATGATCTTAAAGGTCATTTCCAACCTAAACAATTCTATGATTCTATGATTTCACCATGACAATACCCAGGTTTTTTGCAGCCCTCAGTTAAGGGATCACAAGCTGAGATCTACAGCTCTATACATCACTGAAAGAATGGATGGAGAAGCACATACTGAGTTTTCCTGTAATTCCTATATATTATTTTACATTCTTGGTCTCTCCAACACAGCTGTTCAATGCCTTAGACCAGCACTACATGGAGTTTATACACCTGATGGGGAGCAGGCTTTGACCCAGTCCTCCTCTCAGCCTGCTTGGCCCTGGTGATGGGCACTGCCCTCTTGGTAGGACAATCTCAACAGTGGTACAATGCGTGCTGGCTTCTGTTCTGGTCACAGAAATAAGCAACTTTGGCCAGATCACTGGACAGATGTAGACTCTGGAAAAACTTCTGGTTTAAACAATACAGAAGTAATTATTTCCAATTATCATGACTAAAATCAATATAGGTATATAAACACACAGCATCTTTCTCACGTCCCTGAAATGCTCACGCTGATCACAAGGGGAAAAGCATTTAGAGGAGCACTCTTTGGCAGACAAGCTCCTCACACCACAGATTTAATGACCCTGCAGTCGCTGTGATAAAGCAATTATGCAGCAGGAGGGATACCACAGAACTAGCTGAGTTTATATGTCAACAGTTTAGAAACAAGGGGTTTATTTCTTATTTCGCAGTTCCCAAGCAGTTACATTCAGGACTTGCTGTGATAGTCTCATTTTAACTTGTTCACCTGAACAAGGGTGAAAACAGATCAGTTACAGATCTAATCATGGCAGAGGATCAGTTTGACTTAGAAGTAACCTCTGCAGCGCTGACAAAGCTGGCTGGCGAAGGACAGTCAGCCTACAGCCCACGGACCTCGAGCACCTTCAGTTATCCTTGCAGGCCTGGATTTCAGTTTTATTCAGTTTGGGTCAGAAATGTCAGGTCAGCATAAACCCACCCTGATGGAAACAGTGCCTCCCCCTCATCCCAGCCTCAATACACCAGGTTTAAAACACATGCTGTTGGCCTTTTGCAACGCACCGTTGGCATCTGTCATTTTTGTGCTACACGTTTCAGCCTTATTGCTTTTGGCAGAACCAGACCATACACAAGTTTCCTCCACCGCCGTCTGCAGTGACATTTCACTTCTGTTCATTTTGATGGACAGGTATTTAAAGGCTCCTGGCAAATGCCTATCTCCCCTCAAGTACGTCAGCTTTTTAGAGATTTCAAGGAAAAATAAATATGCACGTGAGTGACCCAGCCATGATCTCCTGGGGTTTAAATCAGTGCTAAATTGCTGTAAGAATGAATGGACAAATATGCAAGTTATAACAGGGAGATGTTAACCACCCTATTCAGTCTGTGATTTTTTTTTTTTTTTTTTGATTGAAGATCAGGTTATGCAGAACAACTGCAGTGTAATTGAAGCCCTTAGCCATGGGAAGCGCTTGCTTTTTTTTTTTTTCCAGCTAATAAAATGAAGTCATTGCTTATAAAAACCAGCAAACATTTAAAAGGTGGGTTTCAAGAATCTGATTGTCACCTCAAGAAAAGCAAAGCTTGCCCTGGCTGCAGAGGTACATGTGCCAAACAACAGCAAGAAGCCTACAGTTTTGAAAAATTCCCTGAATCAAAAGTTTGTGCCATTTTGCAATGCCACCAAACTGCTCTTCATTTCCTTGCAACTTCTCCATGGCTCTCCTGGCAAACGGGATGCCAAACGCTGGCAAAAGCATTGGATTGTGTATGATCTTTTCATGTTAACCAGGGTTATACGGGATCCGAAGTCCAGCGAAATAAACACACGGGCTTCTCCAGCCCGCGCTGACCCGGGCTTAGTGCAGGGCACAATCCAGCCAGGAGCCTCCTCCCTGATGTGCCAGTTAGGATGGGTTCAGATTTAACCCAGGTTGGATCCAGTAAGTCCCCAGGGTGTGGAACTTCACTGTGACTAAAGCAAGGAGCAAGGACTTCATCTCTTCTTCCTAGCTCGGAGGCAAACCCATCGCTACTTTGCCTCTTCGCCAACTTTCGTTTTCCTACCTGTAAAGCAGGAATTACAAATGCACCTGTTGGAAATGGTGGAAGACACGCGGCTGGAGGAGCTCGCTCTTGCCCACCCTGCAGAGCTCCCTCTCCGCAGGTTACCTGCTGGCCCCCAAGCCCCCGCTGGCTCTCCACGTCCCTTCCCATCCATTTCTGCCCTCACTGGTGCCACCAGCCAGCCAGGCTGAGCCGGGGACACTGGGACCGAGGGGACCACGGTGACACCAGCCTGCTGGCGGGCAGGCAGCCCCCGGCACGCCGATGCCGCTCTCCTGTTACTCGCCCAGGGAAGGAATTTGGAGACGACAACACATGGAGCATGTGGCATTTCCAGGGCCTGGGAAATGGGTGTGTGTGGGGGGACACTACTTCCCGCTTGTCCCAGCTATGTGCTCAGAGGGGGTCTGGAGGTTAAGGCAGTCGGAAAGCCCCTTATTTGTACAGGAAATTTTAAAAGTAGTTGCTTTAATTAAAGAAAAATAACTTCTATGCAAAAAATCCCTGCCACATGTTTAAATCAGCACAACTAAAAGTGGGGATCTGGGCGCACTGTGGATTATTTCCACCCTCCACAGCCGTGGTTTGGGGACATTTCCATCATTCCTCATCCCAGAGGGCATCACCGGCTCTGCACAGAAGCACTGGCAGAAGCGGCGTCACCTCATGGCCCGCTCGCTGCTGGCCACAGCAGCGGTGCCAGGGACAGCCCGGCAGAAGGGACCGGCGACCCGCCCGAGGTAGCCAGCTGCAGGGGCTAAATCTGTCCCCCGCTCCCCGAGTGCTTTGCTAGTTAAAGGACCTAAAACAGATTAAAAAAACAACGTTCACCAACCTCTTTCTGTTTTCTCATGGAAATCTCCTGTATTTCAGTTCGCTATTGAACAAAAATTCTCAATTAGAATGAGAATCAGTCTGCACCAGTCTCAAAAAAGTAAGGCGCAATTTTCATTTCTAGGCTGAGCCTTTGCAGCTCCCCACAGCCCGGGCAGGCTTAGTAACATCGGCTTGATGCAGACCCTCACCACACCTCCGGGTGGGAAAAACCCACCCGGACAACTGCTATTGCTAACAAACCCTTCCACGTACTGTCTTCTGGCAGCAATTTCCCGCAGGTCTTATACTACTAACCATGAAATAGAAGGAAAAAAGTCCAAGCCAACAAACAAAGTGCATTTCTCACAGCCACCACTCCGAAAGAATTGCTAAAGCAGCCCTGGCAATATTTAGAGCAGACCTGCAGTGACCGTGAGTCTTGAAGCTGCTTCACCATCAGAGGGTGAGACCTGCCAGCCCTGCGCAGCATCGGCAGCGCTGCCCCGAGCCGAGCTGCACCAGCTCCAAGTTTCCCAGAGAGCAAAACCCTGCAGAAGTTCCCTGCTCCGCCGATACCCACGCATGTCCCAAAACAACACAGCCCCTCCTCGACATCCCTGCGAACCGAGCCCCAAAGGGGAATGAGCCACAGACCTCTGTGGAGCGGTGCGGCTTTCCCTGGAGTCCGCCGGGAAGGTGCGACGAATCCAGCTACATTCTTAAATTGTGGGAGAAGCAGCCCTGGCGCCTCGTCTGCTCCTCGGCGTGATTAGAGATTTCAATTCCCAGACGTCAGGAGGGATAAGGAAGGGGAGGGAGAGCAGGGGGAGAGGGACAGCAATTCCCCCACCTCCCTCTCACCACGCAGCGGAGAGCACTGCTTGGCCCCTACGTGCAGCTAAATAAAGCGTGCACGAAAAGCAAAAGACTGCTAGTATGGAAACCAGTCAACAGCTTTTAGTGGTTTTGCTAACTAAATACTAAATATGTGTCTAAGAAGCTGCACGCTGATTTCCTAGAGCACAGCAACAAGTCGTGGCTCCCGCCCACTGTCAGACTCCCAGGGATGAAGTCATTCACATCCCAGTCACATCCCATTAAATATTTTTGAGAGCCCGACGCTTGCACTGAAGGCAAATTGCCTTGCATTTGTTTAAGGAAATTAAGCACATCTGTCAGTTTTGCAAGGCCAGAGGCTGAATCATGAACTGGAGCTCGACAGTGCTGCAGCCTTCCCAGCTGTAGGACGCAGCCCCGACCTCCACCGGCATGCGGTCCCTAGCCCCGGGAGGCCTGGGAGAGCCACCCAGCTCCGCACCAAAACTTTTTCAGAAAGATTTTGTCCTCGTTGCCAGGAATGGAACAACTGACAGTGGCATTTCTCATTACAAATGGAGGCCAGATTTTCAGCTGCATCTCCAGGGACTGTCAGCATCGGCCTCCCATTGCAACAGAGCGAGCTGCAAGAAACTCACAGTTGCTGTTCTATAGGAAACACAGGCACCTTCAAAAGTGTCAACTCAGATGGGGGGGGGGAAGAAAAATCATAGTTTTTAAATATTTGTGCACATTAAAGAAACATTTGGTAGTTCATTGCCATTTTGCTTTATAATCTAGTAAGTATTTAAAAGCATCACAATATACAGGCCAAAGGGTAACACCAAAAAGAATCACTTAAATCTTGTTACGACAAGATGTGGAGCATTTGGTAGGCTGTGGAGAGAGAGTTGTCACTGCCCTGCATGTAAATACCACAAATTACCTCTTCTGTAACTCCTACTGGATTTCAGTAGTTGCTCTGATTTGCTACAGTTTACTTTAAAACTAGGAGGAGGTGAGAAAGGAAAGAGCACAGATGTCCTGACTGCACTTCCAGGGAATTCAGATCCAGAGGTAAAATTTGTGCTCTGTTTACGTCAGAAAAATCTGGAGCTGCTTCCAGTGCTTATGTTCAGGTTGTTTCTTTCTGGCCTACCTTTCCCAAGGTGCCCACAAAATGCTGTGGTCTCCTGGCTTTGACTTTAGTTCAAGCCCAACGCTCTGAATTAAAAACTTGGGGCCACCACCAACACTCAAGCCCTCCCTGAACAGCAACACAAACCAGAATTTAAAAAGCAAAAAAAGCAGATAGATGCTGCTTTTCTTGTGCACTGGATGGCTAGAAATAACAACTGTGAGTATATTGACAAATGGCTTGAAAGATTGTCTGGTTTCACTTAGGGGCTGGAAGGACCCCAGTGGATTATCAGTGCAAACATCTTGCTTGGACCGTGTTCCAGGAACGCTGTGCTCCAAGTAGTCCTATTACCTCTGCACCAGTGCCGGGGGAGCACATATCCCTTTATACTGAGGGAAAAAAAAAAAAAGACATCCAGCAGTAATGCAATACCCAATATACCGCTGATACCAGATTTTCCAAGAAAGTCAGCTCCCACTTTAACAAAAATCAAAATGACTATTTTTTTGGTTTATGTTTTGGGGGTTTTGTTTGGTTCGTTTTTAAGACTTGGTTGGTGGCCAAAAGAGCTGCACTGAGGGACTTGCTCTAAGCCGGAGTGCTGGAAATCATCCTGCTGTATGCACAGCACTGCAGGCTGATCACAAGCAGGGTGCTCGGGGAACTGCAAAGTGAGAAACCTCCCCAGTTTCTTGTGATCACCTGTTATTCTATATTTAGTTCACTTTCAGGATAGTCTGCATATGAATATTCTGCATTGTCTGCAAATGCAGTCATCCTGGGAGCAGCAGGGCCTAGGGGGGCTGGATTTTGGTGGCTTTCACTCATTTCTGTTCCATCCTAGAGTCAAACTCAGACTATGACACGTTTCCTTTTGGGCAGACACTGGTTAGGGTCTCTCCTTTCCCCCACTGACTCCCATCACTAGGTTGGTAGCAGCCTATGACGTTTGGGACCTCCACCTGGCTCCATGCCGAGGTGAAGCTGGTTAATGAATTTAAGCATTATTAGGGTGTGGGGGCACAAAAAGTGCAGTCATGGTAGTCTCACCTTTTCAAGAAACAGCTGGGAAGAGCAACCAGTCCTGGCTGTGAGCCTGGCTAAGCCAGGAGAGTAGCAGGAGCCTTAGACTTTCCTTACAAGGAAGCATACATCATTGCATTCATTTCCTTATTTTCTTGACAGAGTCAATGGCACGGCTTATTGAGCCACCTGGAAAGCACACTGTGTTCTCAGTAGACTGCACAGACAACTCAGGGGAGCTCAGATGTACTCACTTGCTTGGTATCCAACTTCTTGCTGCTTACCAGCTTGTACCACCTGCCTTGCAGCTTGGCTGAGTGAATGGCTTCTTCTAAGGCTTGGTTTCATGATGTGCTGAACTCCCCCACTGACATTAAAAAGGAGCTGCAAGAGCTTAGACCCTCTCAGGATCAGGTAGAGCCAAATATTTCAACATCAAAATCCGACACTTGTCCATTAGAATGTATTTATTTGAAAATATATTAAAATGCCTGGCTAACATTTCACAGTGAATGGTCAAGCTTGGTCCCTGCCCACAGTCCATCCTTGCTTAGTGGAGTGTCCTGCCTTTCCAAACAGCGGTGGGATGAGACCCCTTCGCTCATTCAATGGCTTCCATGACTTCCATCACGAGAGTGCGTGGTCCTGTCATGATGAGGCTGCTGATGGTCTGATAGTCCAGATGCAAAACGTACATACCATTCACTGAGAAAACAAACTGGCACACCTGCAAGGACAGGAAGGGCAGGTTACCTTCAGCTGATGTCTTCATGGCAACCTCTGCCCATGACTGACTAGAGCCAGAGGCTGCAACGCAAATAACTTGCCACAAAATCCTGCAAACCCTAAGGCATTACCACTCCATAAACTACACTAATAATCACTGTGCTACGATCACTATATCATAAAAAAGGGACCGAAGGGATTTAGATTGTGAGCTACCAGAGAAAAGACGACTCATTTATGAGCAGTGGTTCATTTCAGATGGAAATGAGGCACAATATTAACATCTAGCAATTTGGTAGCAAATGAGATTAGGTAAGGAAAAGTTAACTGGGCTCTTGAGTAAATGAAACAAATTCATCCATCCCCTTCCAATCCCGCCTGAAGCAAACGAGGAGACACACTCCGCCTCCAAAGAATCCCATTATTTCAAATATCCATGTGACTTTAGACTTATAGCAGCTTGTAGAAATTACTCCCTTGCTGCTGGGGTTTTTATAGAGAACTGTGAAACTCAACATTTCTTTTACTCATGCCTAAAACTCTACACACAAACCCCATACATGCCTGGGTCTAAAATGAGTTTCAAGACCTCAGTTCATTTCACCTGAGCTGGAAATACTGGAAGTTACTTGATGAATCAAATAAAGGCATTAGTCTTTCACGTATATGGAAAATAGTTCCACGCAGAACTACGTCATTAATAGCAGAGAAACACAAAATGTGTTATATCTCAGGAGCTGTGAGAACAGGTGATTCAGGATAAAGCTCTGCTCCTTCCTTGCTTCACTGGGGTTATATACAGTTATTGGAGCTGAAGTGGGAATTCTCTGCTTTTTTTTTAGCAGCTCAAACAGTTCTGACAGCTCCAAAGTCTACTACAGGGGCAGCTTAGTTTTGACAGAGTTTTTTCAGTTTTAGCTGCCCACAGCCCCTGTGCTGCCCTGGCAAAAGGCAAACCCGCCGCCGTGCAGCCACGCACAGCACAATTTGCCTGCAGAGAGCATCCTTCCCTCCGCCTCTCAGCGCTGCCAGAGCTCCACGTGCTGACTCGATCGGACTGATCTCCACTGCAGGACGTGGGATTATCACAGAGGATGTGTTCAGCCCAAAAAGCTCAAACAGGACATGAGTCCTGCCTCCTATTAAGTCACCACGAGTAAGAAGTACCTTCATCCCTGCAGCAGCAGCGGGTCCTCCTGGGTCCACTGCCTGGATGTGGCAAGGTCTTCCTCCTCGAACCACAAACCCCCAGCCCACCGCATCCCCCACAATCTACAAGCAGAAGAAAAGGGTTTTAAAAACCAAGGAATGGGCTGGGTAGAGGAGATGCAACAGTTCCTAGCAAGATGGAGAGCTCTGTTCATGATCCTAATCTGTCATGGGTAGGATGCACCAAGTGAGATGCAAAACTACAGATTAATTGCTCTCTGCAAAGCTGCTTTCTGATCAGTATTCCCTGCCAGGAAGTGAGGAAGAGTGAAGCACAGGCAGCATGAAGTTGAAGTGCAAGGCATGCACCAAGAGCATGTTGAGAACATTTCCAGAGCACGCACACGGTGCCTTTTCCTTGGCACAGGAGAGTGTTTCCAGGGTGGAAGTAGCCACTCTTAATTTTTCCCACTCTGATCTCAGTCTGTCAGAGCATTTTGCTGTAATACTGTGGCCATCTGATGTGACTAAAAGAGAAAAGGAATTTCCAAAGGACTTTGCACATTATCCATATAAATAAATAACAGCAACTGCACAGCTAAGCAGAAAGAAATGAGCCATGAAAGGCCCAGGCTGGCAGAGTTGAAGGGCAGGGCAAGAGCATTCAGAAGGAGAACGAACGGCATGTCCTCACACATGCCACACTAATCACCAGCTTTAGTTTTGCCACACTAATCACCAGCTGTAGTTTTCTTGCTCCTTCCCACCAATTGCTACAGCACAGTTAATTTGGGAACCTGATCCACAGCTCCTCTGTAACCCCACTCGCGTCAAACCAGTATGGCAAGACAGCCCTCACGCTTCCTAAACTGGCCACTGTGAGATTCCCCCTTTGAAAGGTGGGCAGGAAAGGGCTGAAGTTTTACACACAAATAAACAAGCACGATAGGATCTGCAGGGCAGGAACTATCTTGCAATGTTCACACCCAGCACCCACCAGCCCTGCCTTGACTGGTCCTACTGCTTTAGAAATGATTAGAAAAGCAAAAGCCCAAAATTCAGGTTGTCTGCAGCATCCTGGAGATTCTGCAGTGTGGTTTTTTTGTGCATGAAAAAAGCCCATCATAAGAAAGGCAAGAGTGGCCCTCGGATGCTCCCCGTTCAGTGCTGCTCCATCAGATGCTGGTGGATGATATCAGCATATCGGATCTGCAGCAGGAACCTGAAAGTTGCATAAAGCCATGCATAAAGGTGATGTCTGTGTAACAGAGGATGAGTGTCAGTCTCAACTGTCACAAGACTTGACTGATTCCATAGTTTGCATGGAGCTGGATGAAACATAAATGGGAGTTTTTCCGTCCAGGAAACATTCTCTTTCCTGATCTACCCCTTTAATTAAACTAAAGCAGAGGCTGTGTGCATTTTCACCCACAAGAATGTCTGCAGACATTGGCCCACTGAGACTCACCAGGAAAGAGCCATGATGATGTGACACGCAATTAAAGTTTCAACACACAGAGGTCAGAGCAGCAGACAGAAAGCTATCGAAGAGCAGTCAGAGAGCTCAGTACCGGTGGGTTAGCAATGCCGTTCGCTATGGTCACTTACAGTCAGGCTTTTCTTGATGTAAGGGGCCCCAGGGGACAGGAGCTCTTCGTTGGTGACGGGTCTCTTTAACACTAGGGCAGAAGGCGACAGATTCTATCAAAATCAAGGGATTCATACAGTGAAGTACATAACAAGGCAGCCTGGGGATTACTGTGGGCTGGAGAACAGATGTTAGAACCAGCACAACTACTGCACACTGAAATATTTGCATTCATCTCAATGTTTTTCAAAACACTTGCACAGCTTTTCGAATCAAGACTCAGAGGTGAGGCTGACCCTCTGTCCTCTTGCAAGTCACCAAGCGGACAGTGGATGGGTTTGGACCTGAGGCTTGAGCTATCCCGTGCCCCGAAGGAGTAGACATCTCCTGTGCAATGACAGGGCAATGCAGAAGCCCAGACCTGATTTGGGGTTGCACTCAGCCACAGGAGGGAATACCAACGTAGGAGTAGTGCTGAAGTAGGGGCTGGAGTTTCCAGCGAGGGAAGTGATGCTGCTCCTTCGAACTGCTGAGACAATTTTGATCTCCTTGTTGGTCTGGACTGAAAGAGACAGAAAGAACAATTACCCAAGGAAAGAACAGACCAGTTTAAAATAACAAACTTCCCCCACCAGCCTGACCCACATCTGAAAGGTAAGCATGCACTGAAGATGGCATTTGAGCTTAGAAGGAATAAAACTAGCTTCAAAGAACTATCAAGAGCTGAGCTGATGGTAAGCTGAGTTATTTTCCTGGGATGGGGAGCTGTGATAGGCACTGCCACTGCATCATGACATCCACCACAAACCAGTGGGATGGGCAGTCACTTCATGGGATGCCTGAAGAACACCCTACGCTCTCCTGGAGCAACACCCTCAGCTCTGGGATACTCTGGTAACGTAATCCTTGCTTTCACACCCCTCCACAAACACATCCACAGTTACCAGAGAGAAAGCTGGTGTTGCCTGGGTCCGGGTTGAGCTTGCGAAGACAGAAGGGGCTATCTGGGCTCTCAGAAAGGGTGCGAGAAGAATTCTCGTTGAGTAACTCTGTGAGACGCCGCCTCCGTCGAAAGTTGATCCAGAATTGGTAGACGATGTCACTGTCAAAGAAGTGATGCCTATTGGAGACTAGGAGAGAATAGGGGAGGAGGGAGAAGCTGAGGGGGTGTGAAAAATACATAGCAAATATACCGAGGGACCCAGATGAATTGCTTTTAATGCCTCTGTGTTCTACTGCAGTTTTCCTGACTGTTTGAGAATGCTACCTGCAGGGAAGGAGGAACAGCAGGGCCACCTCCCCAGGAGATGCCATCTCCCAGGGGTGCACCACCGAGTCACAGCCCTCCACCTGCTCCGTCCCAAGACACTCAGAGGACTCCCTCCCTTCTGAATTGAAAGTTTAATTCCTGCAGATGGTTACGATCTCCAGCCAAGCAGAGTTGAACATTACATCCTCACAACCCAGCCCTCCAAACCCAGGGGTGGATCCCAGTCCTGCAGCCAGAGGCTTTGAAGAACTGAAGGGCAATAGCTCAGATTTCAGCTCAAAGCCTTTATGGGTTGTGGAAGATTGCTCCAATTTCAAAGGTCACCAGCTCCAAACATAGAACTAAAAGGCCCCATTGCCATCTCCAAGTGGGCACTTGACCAGCACTTGTTGCGTGACATGAATGGGGATTTGTTCCTAGCACAGCCTTGAAAACTATGCTCATCTCTTTCTTCCCATCCCAGCTCCAGCCAGACCCTCACTCACCATGCTGAATGATCCCGTGCTCCAGCAGCGCCCGTCCCAGCTCCACCGCTTCCTTTCGGTTCTCTGCTTCTCCCTCCTGAACGAGCCAGTCAATCATCTCGCAGCCCAGGAAAGTCCTCTGGTACTTCACAGAGTTCTCCTCTCTCACCTTCAGAATTGACTCCTCCACGCTCACCAGCCTGGCACAGAGGTGGGACAAGGCTCCCGTGATGCTGTATGGCCCTGCCATCCCACACGGGAGCTGCAGCCAGCCGAAGCAAGGCCAAGAGAAGCGGGCAAAGCATTGCAGCCAAAACATTGCTGTCTGGGAGCAGTGGGAAGGGAGGGAGAAATGCAGAGCTGCAGTCAGGCAGCTGTGTAAATCTTCATCACAGCAGAGGAAGCAGCTTCAGCGGAACCAGTTCAGCTGCAACCTCCGCTGAAGACCGCAGGGGAAAGCCAAGCAAGCAACCAAATGCACACAACAAATGGCATAGTCCAAACTGATGCAGAAGGTGCGTTTCAGTAAACACGTATTCAGTTTGCAGCATGACAGAGCTAACTCCAGTGCCTCCACGAGAGGGTGCAACAGGTTCAGCCATGAGATGCACTGGATGCTCTCCCTGGTCCCATGGCCACGCTGCAGAGCAAAAGCAAAGTACAAGGGATGCACATCTGCCAGAGGGTCACAGAGACAGCCGAAATCACTGCCCACTTGGCTGAAGGACTTCCCCTTCAGTGCCAGTTTGTGAATCTGATGGCCAGGGTTTGAGGATGGAGAAGATGTGAAAAGGCTGTTAAAGGAAACAGGTCCAGAGGGTGGTCTGTGGTTAAACCCAGTCTAACAAAATGGCTCATGAGGTGTCTGGGAAGATGGCTTGGATTTAGAAGCAGAAACAATCAACACAAAGAAAACTAAACACTTGGAGATAGAGGGAGTTGTCTTTACTGTCTGAGAATTAGTTTTTCCATTACAAATTTTGCAAAGGGGTTAAGCAAGCTGCAGGGATCCAGGCCCATGACAGCCCTGAAGATCCTATACCCTGCTGATTCTGGTGGGACATAAGTCCTAATAGTGCTGGTGGAAGCAGCTCACCCAGGGAGGCTGGGGGAGTGCTGGGAACGGGCACTGGACCTGCCCATCCTGGGAGCGCTCAGACTGGACCCTAGCGCTTCCCTGTACCAGATCCCAGAACCTGCACTTGGGTTGGAGCCCTTGAAAGCATCCACAAGTTCAGAGCACAGCTCCTGTCCCAGCCCCAAAGAGGCCGGTTGTCCTGCAGCTGCGACAGGGCTCAGGAAACAGCATTTCCCAACGCTACAGCACAGGGTGCAGGGAAGGAAAAGCCAGCTGTAGCTGCGGCTCCCAGCTGTAGAGCATCGACAGCAAGCGCAGCCAGCAGACCGCGCTCCCAATGCCCCTTGCCGAGAGTTATTTTGCAGGGGAAGGACTCACGTACTTCTCATAAAGACTCTGCCCTCTCATGAACACCTTCACATCCTTGCTGAGAGGGAAGGTCCCGTCATCCTTGCGGAAGCGGTACAGCAGCTTGGCATCCTTGTAGTCCGAGTGCTCATCGCAGACTGAAAGGAGTTCAGAGCGGGGAGGTCAGTGCTGCAGGCGTCTGTCGGTCTGTAAGGGACAGAGCTGCACAGAGCACGGACGCAGCAGGGTGTTATCTCCAGGTTAAAAGCTCTGGGGGCTGCGTGCCATGTCCTCCTCTATGCCACTCATGCATGCAGCAGCCAGCATCTGAGCCTTCAGTCCCCACATTAGGTGCTGACGAATGCCTGCAGCCCGCGCCGGTGGGAGAGGTCAGTCCCACCGAGCAGACCTTGGGAAAGCTCGAGTTTGAGGCTACGTTTTTGATCCAGATACTAAAACATTCATTAGAACAAACCGGGAAGTTTTTGGGGGGTTTTGTTGTTGTTGTCGGGTTTTTTTGTTGTAGTTGGCTTTTTTTTTTTTTAAATAATTTAAATGTTGATGTTTTGGTTTAGACTAAAAGAAAACAACCAGAATTGTCTCAGTCAGCTTTTTTTTAGAAAGCTACTGCCACAGGTAAGTAGACTTGGAGGACAGGAGGGAAAAAAATCCCCCACACTGCATCCAAAACCCCATAAAATCACCTCTGTCCCTGTCAAAAATACCTGTAAGCTAAAATGCATAATGACACCAACTTGCCCACACCATTTTGTGCCAACTGCACCCAATTCATTTCCATGGCAAACTGATCTCAAGAGTGTAATTTTTCTTCGAAGCTAGGTGCATACAACTGGAATAATCTATATGAAAAGCTTCAGTTTCATCTTGGGGATGAGCACACAATCTGTAAATGCATGGCTGTTAAGTGAATGCAACATTTAGCAGGTAAATATTCAGGATACAGCTTTGAGATAAACTTGCCTGCAACAGATTCCTAGGCTACAAGTCAAAAAAAAAAAAAAAAAAAAAAAGAGGCCCAAAATCCCAGTCCAGCTCTTAAATCAGTCAGCCTGCCTTTCTTCAGGTCCACCCATCTGAAGCAAGAAGGAGAAACTTCAGCAGTAAAAAAAAAACAAAACCAAAAAAAAACCACCAAACAACAACAAACCAAACCCAAAACCCACAGAGTAAAGAATATGCCCAGAAAACAAAGAAAATTAGTCAAAGGGAGGAAAAAAAAATCCCCCCGTTTCCTCACTAAAGTAATGTAAACCACTAGAGTGAAATTCAAGACATAAGATATTTCTTGTAAAAATTTTAACACTTGTTCATTCTTCTGAGCAGACTGGCAAAACTTCAGTCCCCGTTTGGTGAGCAGCTCAATGCTAAAAACTGCCAGATTATCTGGAGCTCATCATTCCTCCTGAGCAGTTGTCTTGGTGCGAAATCAAGACGCTAAAGCCCATGACTCATCGAGCAAGACGGCAAGTCAAGAAGGTTGTTTTAAAAGGTGAAAGTTTGCATCTTAACAACTCCAAGGAGCAACGATTCAGATGTCATTGCAATCGGGAATTGGACATAAAACCTTACAGGACTGCGCCCATAGAAAACCAAAGCATTTTTGCTATTTGAAGACCAATTTCAACGTGTTTCCCGCATGCAATAGAATCACAGCTCAAACCACATCAGACCGTTAAGAGGCAGCACAGACAATGATCTTCATGAGATAATTATTGTCTTCTGGATCCCAGCGGAGAAGAGGGCAAACAGTTTAGACGGCTAATTGCAAAGCACTTAGCACAGTGCTGCGGTTAGCAGGCAGCCCTGTTTCCGTAGGACTAACAAAAATTAATGGTCATAAGGCAAGTTGGAAAGTCGACTTCGGTGTCCTGCCAGGAATTATCACAGAAGCAGGAGGGACACATCCGCAATAAGCAATCAAAACAGCACTGGTACCCAGTGCTGCGCGGGTTTAATCAGCTAATGGATTTATATGAAACTGTCGGCTGGAGAGATGGAAAAATAATCCTTTTTAAGCATTCATGGTTACTGAGAACTCACTGCTTCAGCTTTACGCTTCTGTGATAAAGCACAGCGGCGGTTTACATTAAGCTGCCTTGAATAAAAATAAAGGGCATTAACCTCAGCAAGTAGCAGATGGCAAGAGAGAGTGTTTGCATTGCAGTGGTCCAAGGCAGCTATTTCTGGACCCTGGAGAAGAGGGGGAAGAGAGGGCTGAATTTGGCATGGTTGTCATCTGCTTCTGTCTCCTCAGCTTCATCCTCGTGTGACAAACTACCACCCAACTCCAGGTTACCATAGCTTGCGTCCCAAAGCCTGGGAAGCAAGAGATCTCAGCCACAGCCCTTCCCACCAAGGGCAGGGGTCTCCCAGGCCTGTTTGAAAATCCAGGACTTTTGTTCCTGATTGGGCCTGAAAAATCACGCGGCAAGAAACATCGTTAATATGAAGCACTTGTTTCCTGTTGTTGTATCGGGACCAAGGGTGGACCTTGGGGATTGCTCTGCAGCTCAGGGACAGGCACAGACCACAGTACATGACCTGAGTTAATCCAAAACTGCTGAAAGTTCCAAATAATTTCTAAGAACAAAGCCTGAATACTAAGAGCTGGGCTTGAGCACCAAGCTGCTTTTTTTTCCTCCTTGCTTTTTTTTTTTTTTTTTTTTTTTCTTCTTTCCCCCCCACCCCCCTTTCTTTTAACAGTTTCCACAGACAAGCCTTTGAAAAGGCCTCACACACTTAATTCCCAAGGGAGGCGTTCCTACAGGACAGCTCCAGCCCCGGGGTTACAGGTACCAGATGACCTTTTGCTTTGAGTGGTGTTGACTCCGCACCCCTGCTTCTCCCACCCCAGCATCAGTGGGGAAACTGAGGAACACTGGGCTCTTAGAGTAAAAAATGAACTTTCTGCAGATGCGAAGCATGCGTTATCATTCAGCTTCCACTTCTGCATGATGCAAACGTGAGCTAGACCAGCTTCTGTAAAAATATCCACCACCGGCTGCCGATGCAATTGCTGAAGGGCAGTAGAGGTCAGGCATTACTGAACTTGCTTTCAAACAAGAGCCACTTCAGATGCTGTTTTACCAGTGCGCAGCCCAAGTCCCTTTTCTGTGGGGCAGGGAACTGGCACATCCCTCAAAGCAATGCAGCTTCACACAGATCCAACCCCATACAGCCTCACGCCTGCCCATCATCTCCCAGCTTCTCCAGGAGCCCTCACCCATAGGAGGGTCATGAACAGGGACCGGACCGCGCTTCCATATCCTGGGCTGACGAACACACGTGGTGACCAGGTACACAGCCACCTCCCTGGGGAGGCTCAGCAGGTAGCAGAGAAACGCACACACCGTGATGGATGATGTAATGGTCCATCAGCTTCTGCATGAGGCGGATGCCCGTCTCTCGGTCCGGTGCTTCTTTGTGGTCGATCAGCCAGTCCGTGAGCTCCTTCGCCACAAAGCAGTTGGGGTATGTTCGGAGGTGGTAACGTCTGTCCTTAATGAGCTTCCCATCATGGAGGCGAAGCCTAGAGAGAAAGACAGCCATTGAGCATAGCTGGTGTTACAGGGGAATTTGGGTCTAATAGACCAGCATCTGCCCAGCCTGGAGAAACCACTGATGATTTGGGACTCCTGGCAAGTGCCCATCGACTTATAAATTCAACCAAACCTCTTTGCTTTGCAAGACTGCATCAGTCGATCCTACGGAGCCTCCATCATCCCCTTCTCTCCTACTATCACTATGCAGGCTATATAACTGCCTGAACCATACTTTTTTTCTAAACAAGCCTCTAAAAAATACACAGCAGCTAACTGGAGCTTGTGAAGGGTCAAAACAGAAAAAAAAAAAAAATAGTACTTATATTTATCATCTTGACATGATTCTGTGTCTAGTTGTCCTTCCCCACAACCATGAAAGCAGGAACCCAGCTGCCCCCAGGACGAAGTGTTAGTCATAGCTCAGGGTGGGAGCAGTAACAGGAGCACCCATTTCTTCTGTGTGTGGCTGAGACCCAAGTGCCAGGTGGATCCCATGCACTACCAACTAATCCAGGTACCCACTAATCCACAGCAACAGCGCACAACAGTCCTGACATTTTCTCGTTCCAACTGGGATAGACTGGGACAGAGTTTACCAGAACAACAAGCGTCCTATCCTGAAAACCCTGATGTTACGGCTGGTCCGTGACTCCAATGGAAAGATATATATGGGTGAAGGTTACTCAGGTGAGTATGGCTTTGACTTTTTTTAAAAGAACCTTAACAACTGAGCAAGCCACAAGGCACAGAGATCTTATGTGTTCAAGCCAAAGCTAACCCAGCTTGGCAGGAGATCTCTCCAGGAGCCAAACTTTTGCTCCGTAGTCATGACTGTTCCCAAAATACCAACCCTGGAAAATGCCCAGCGCATGCAGCAGACCCAGAGGGGGAGATGTTTGATTAATATCTCCTCTGTAACTCCAGGGTGTTGCTGGTTTCAAATTATTCATTTCAATTCGCAGTTTTGTCCGAGGCCAGTATATTTTACAAAAGTATTAATCACTGCAGCCTTTTTTTATTTAATGCCTCATGTTCTTCTGTTCTTTTTGAAGAAGTTATGTGTACACCACATGATGTAGGACAACCATTTCAGGCACCATATGAGAAGTTTTAAATATCCTAGAAATCTATCAAATAATAATGGATTACCTTATACTGTAGCATTTACAAATACTAGTGTCTCAAAAGTCTAAAGATAGAAACTTTTGTCAAATGAAGATTTAGTAATTGATTGATATAATTAATCAATTAAGGCTACTATGAGTCAAAATAACTATGCTATTTTCCGACCTTCCAGGTAACTAAAAAACTAAACCAAAGATTCCTGCAGAACCAGCTCCTGATCTTGCCTGTGACCGGCCTCCCTCACATCCTCGAGTCTCTGTTCAGTATTTTACTCTCTCTACCTGGAAGAATCATTCCCACAAGTGCCCAGCAGTCATCCCACATACGGATTTTTACCTGAACAGAACAGTCCACCTTACAACAGACAGCTGCCTGCTATTTTTAGAGGTTTTAGCTTTTTCCTTTATTTCACAGTCCTCCATCAAAATGCAATCAGACCCAGGC